GGCGCGCGTGGCGCGCGTGGCGCGCGTGGCGCGCGTGGCGCGCGTGGCGCGCGTGGCGCGCGTGGCGCGCGTGGCGCGCGTGGCGCGCGTGGCGCGTGTGGCGCGTGTGGCGCGTGTGGCGCGTGTGTGGCGCGTGTGGCGCGTGTGGCGCGTGTGGCGCGTGTGGCGCGTGTGGCGTGTGTGGCGCGTGTGGCGTGTGTGGCGTGTGTGGCGTGTGTGGCGTGTGTGGCGTGTGTGGCGTGTGTGGCGTGTGGCGTGTGGCGTGTGGCGTGTGGCGTGTGGCGTGTGGCGTGTGGCGTGTGGCGTGTGGCGTGTGGCGTGTGGCGTGTGGCGTGGGCGTTGGGCGTTGGGCGTTGGGCGTTGGGCGTTGGGCGTTGGGCGTTGGGCGTTGGGCGTTGGGCGTTGGGCGTTGGGCGTTGGGCGTTGGGCGTGTGCGTGTGCGTGTGCGTGTGCGTGTGCGTGTGCGTGTGCGTGTGCGTGTGCGTGTGCGTGTGCGTGTGCGTGTGCGTGTGCGTGTGCGTGTGCGTGTGCGTGTGCGTGTGCGTGTGCGTGTGCGTGTGCGTGTGCGTGTGCGTGTGCGTGTGCGTGTGCGTGTGCGTGTGCGTGTGCGTGTGCGTGTGCGTGTGCGTGTGCGTGTGCGTGTGCGTGTGCGTGTGCGTGTGCGTGTGCGTGTGCGTGTGCGTGTGCGTGTGCGTGTGCGTGTGTGTGTGTGTGTGTGTGTGTGTTCCCCTCCTGAAGATTCCCAGGAGAAGACTCAGCGCACTAAATAGTAAACGGGCTGCTTCCCAGGAGGAAACCAACGAAACATACCCTGTGACGTACCCAGCCTTTTCTATACATGTGGCGATTATGTTCAGGACCACTCAATGCTGACTGGCATTCTGAAGGACCCGCAGTGACGCAGAAAGAGCACCCGACAATGCGATCAAAAGAGCGCAGCAAAAAGTCCCGTGGTGATCCGCGTGGGACGCACCTCCGCTGGGCCTCCCAGGAGCCCACGAAAGTGGCGACAATTGCGCAGATCGCAAGACCCCCAGGGGGCGGCGAGGTACCGAAGTGATCCGCGTGGGACGTGCCTCCGCTGGGCCTCCCAGGAGCCCACGAAAGTGGCGACAATTGCGCAGATCGCAAGCCCCCCAGGGGGCGGCGAGGTACCGAGGTGATCCGCCTGGGACCCACCTCCGCTGGGCCTCCCAGGAGCCCACGAAAGTGGCGACAATTGCGCAGATCTCGCAAGCCCCCCAGGGGGCGGCGAGGTACCGAGGTGATCCGCCTGGGACCCACCTTCGCTGGGCCTCCCAAGAGCCCACGAAAGTGGCGACAATTGCGCAGATCGCAGCCCGACGGCACGAAGGAAGAGGAGAGGGGAACACCGGAAACATGAGAGGAGGAGGAGGAGGGGAGGAGAGGGGAGGAGAAGGGAGGACGGGGTGACCACACTGCTCTATTCAAAACGAGTACCCAACACAAGAGAGTTGGGGAAAAAACACGGTCCCGGGACTCTGTTTTAGCAGCCACGGGTTCGCCAGCCTTCGCCTGCCTCCTCAGAAGCCTGCCCAGACTCCGCGGGCGCCGCGCAGCTGGGGTAGGCCATGTCGGCCAGCAGCAGGGATTGTGCCGCAACGCCTTCTCGCCTCCTCCTCCTCATCCTCCTCCTCCGCCTCGACGCAGACCGAAGGGCGAACACGAGTGTCCGCCGCCGAGGCTCGGGCGTGCGGTGCCGATACCACTGACGCCACTGCCGAGCCGAACGGATCCGCGTGGCTAAGGGCGCACCTTGCAACCGCCATTAGCCACGCCCTGCGGACAAAGGAATAAGCTAAACGAGTTAGCCTCTCTGGCCGCCTCCAGCGGAGGACGAAGAGGCTCCGAGGCCCGCACGCACCAGCGTCCTGAAGGGCTGGACGAGAAACCACCACTTCTTGTTGATGGAGAAACGCGCGGGCTCACGCGCAAGATTCGCGAGCACACGAGCTCCCCACGAGGCGGGAAGTGGCGGACCTGGACAGCGGCCGACAGGTCAGCAGACATTTGGACACCTCCCTTCCCACACACACACACACACACACACACACACACACACACACACACACACACACACACACAACACACACACCACACACGCCCGCTCTCCCCCCCGACTTGGAACGGGTGCATGACGTGCTCCCGTCCTCCCGCGAGGGCCACGCGCGCTTGCGCGAGGTCTGCCTGCGAGACGGCTCGGGGCACAGCCGGCGGTGGCGGCACAATGGCAATGCTCGGCACGTGGGGTTTCGTGCTGGCACCGCTGCGCTGCCTAGCAGGAACATGCATACAATCGAAATCGCACATGCGAGGCCCAACAGAGGCAACCCAGCAGGCCCACTGCTTGAGGACATGGGCCTTGGCTTTGCGAGCCTCGCGAAGGCTCTCGGGGATACTCGCACGCTGGGCCATCCACCGTGCCCAATCATCAGCCTGAGCATTACCTTCTTTCTCCAGACCGGTGCTTGTCCCACCGCCGTCTCGCCCTCGTGCCGTGTGGGGGCCGAAGAGATCTTCCAGCCTCAGGCATGTGACGAGGCGCCGTGGATCTGCGTTCATCGTCGCGTGTCAGGGGCCCTGGCAGACAGGCGCGGCCAAGGAGCGCTCGCCTCGCCGTCTCCTTACATGTGTGCCTCTCCCTGTCTCGCACCAGCTGCAAGATTCTCGTACTGTACTGTATTTTCCGCCTTCAACTGCGACAGGCAACGAGGTTTGCCCGCAACCTTGGCGCCTGAGCCGATGCAACTGCAGGGCATCATCTCCTGCTTTGTTTGGCGTGTGGGGTGCCGACCTGTCACCTGACCAGCCAGCGGTTGAATCGGATGCGCGATCCAAAAATCACCCCTCCTTCCCCCCCTCTCGCCATGATCGTCATCATCCTTCCCGACATCCCTCCATCCCTAAGAAAAAGAAAAACTGCATACATATAAACGTTTGGCGTTCCGCACAGATTTCTTACTGCGCTGGACCCCCCTCCCTGGCGGGCGGAGCACGCCAAGGGCGGCGCCAGAGGCGCCGCCAGGGGGGCCCAGCGCGGATCCAATGGATCCGCGCGGAGCGCCAACAATTTGCATGTATGGCGTTGTTTCTTCTTCGGATCCCTTCTCCTCCTCCTGCTGCTGCTGCACCTCCTCCTCCTCCTCCTCCTCCTCCTCCTCCTCCTCCTCACCCACCTGCCCCTCTCCTGCTCCTGCTACTCCTCCTCCTCCTCCTCCTCCTCCTCCTCCTCCTCCTCCTCCTCCTCCTCCTCCTCCTCCTCACCCTCCTGCTCAGCTCCCTTTCCCCTGCCCCTCTCCCGCTCCTCCTCGTCCTCCTCGCCCCCCTCCCCTCGCCCTCCTCGGCCCAGCCCCTGCCGCCCCCTCTTCGGTGGCAGCCCATGGGAGCCTACCACACCATCGTGTCGGCTCTTGCGAGTCGACGCTAATCGACGCTGGTCGAGGCCAATTGACGCGAAATCGACGCGAAATCGACGCGAATCGACGCAAACCGACGCCAAGTCGGCGCTATCTCATCGACTCCCAGACGCTAATCCACGCGAATCGACGCTAGAGATGGAATTCCGACAGTATACCAGGCTCCCATGATTTGCCACCCAGCCCCTCCAAGCCTCAGCAGCAGGCCCGTGCGCTGCATGTCCCCGACCAGCTGCTGTCTCGCCCGGGCGGAGGTGCTAAGCTGCCCAGGGTTCAGCAGGCTGGTCTCCGCCCACTTGCCCGCGGACACCTCCCCGGGTCCAAGCTGGATCGATTCGCGAGATCTTGGCGGCGCGCTACTCTTGCTCAATTTACCTTGCTTCGGCCTCATCGGAGGCCCTCGTCGCCACGGCTGGATTCTCCTCGAAATCCTGGTCAGAACGCACCCCGGGCGAGATCCAGGGAGTATTACATTCTGATCTCCCCAGGATCGGGCCAGCCACGCGCAGAGGGGGGTGGGGGGAGGGGGAAGGTTTCTTGGAAGGAGGCTGCTTCTTAGAGAGCACCGGTCTTACATTTACAGACGAGGCCCGCGCCTTCTAAGAAGCAGCCTCCATTTAAGAAACCTTCCACCCTCCCCCTACCCCCCTCTGCGCATGGCCGGCCCGATCCTGGGGAAACTAAAAAGCAACGGTACCGTTACTCCCTGGATCTTTCCCCGGGGGCGTTCTGACCAGGAAGGAATTCGAGGCGAATCCAGCCGTGGCGACGAGGGCCTCCGAGGAGGCCGAAGAAAGGGAAAGCGGGCGAAGAGTCGCGGCATCGGTACCTTTTCCTCCCTGCTCCTCCTCCTCCGCCCCCTACCCCACTCTGCGCATGGCCGAAGATCGGTGCGGCTCGGCAACGGGTTCGGGCCCAGACCCCCTCGAGCTACGAGCAAAACCACGACGGAGAGCTGTTGGCCGTGCTGGGCCCCTCAATCAAGAAACGGCTCGGGAGGAAGAAACCGGTCCCTGGGAAGGGGCCCAGACCTAAAGGCCTCCTAGATGGGGTCGGAGTAGATGGGGTCGGAGGATCGCGCCGCATCGCCGATACATCGACGATGCATCGGCGATCCATCGGCGATGCACTGGCGATGCATCGTCAACGTCGGCGATGCAACCGCGACGTCGGCGTGAAGCACATCGGGCCCCACATCGAGCCGCATCGCCGATGCATCAGCGATGCCTCTGGATCCCACGGCCCCATCTACAGGGACCCCACCCAGGAGGCCTAGAAGACCTGCAGTATGGTCGCGCTCCTCCTCCTTCTCCTCTCGGGTCGGGCGAAAGGGGGGGATTGCAAAGGGGGCGGTTGAGAATCAGCTCGCGTAGCTGATTCTCCCGGCGCCTCCCGGCGCCAGAGGCGGCTATGTATCGAGAAATGGGCCCCTCGGTGGAGCTAAAACCAGCTGCACACAGCAGATGTTGTAACCCCCCTTTCCCAATCCCCCCCTTTCGTCTGGCACCATCCTCCTCCTCCTCCTCCTCCTCCTCCTCCTCCTCCTCCTCCTCCTCCTCCTCCTCCTCTTCCCCTTCCTCCTGCGCCTCTCCCTGCCTCCTCCTCCTCCTCCTCCTGCTCCTCGTCCTCCTCCCCCTTCCTCCTCCGCCCCCCTTCCTCCTCCCCCATCCTCCTCCTCCTCCTCCCCCATCCTCCTCCTTCTCCTCCTCCTCCTCCTCCTCCTCCTCCTCCTCCTCCTCCGTCCCCTCCTGGCCCCGCCGGGCCTCGCCGCTCTGCTCGCGCACGTGCTCCCACTTCAGCAGCGCCTTCGTGGCGGCGAGGACGTCCGACCAGCCGCAGAGCTTCTTCCGCTCCTCCCCGGGCGCTGGCCGGAGCTGCGAGCCAGGAGGAGGAGGGGGAGGAGGAGGAGGAGGAGGAGGAGGAGGAGGAGGAGGAGGAGGAGGAGGAAGGGGGGCGGAGGAGGAGGAAGAGGAGGAGCAGGAGGAGGAGGAGGAGGAGGAGGAGGAGGGAGTTATCCATTATACAGGCCTCCAAGATGGGGTCGGAGCACATGGGCTCGGAGGATCGCGCCGCATCGCCGCTCCCTTGGCGGCGAGCGATGGGAGGAAATGAGAAAAGGATAAGGCCTTCTCAAAGGCGAGGGGGCTTCTCAGAAGCCCTCTGAGAAGTCTTCCGTGTCTTCGGGGAAAGCTTACAAGACTTCTCAGCAGGCCGGGGGGCTTCCCAGCCTCCTGAGAAGGCCCGCCCCTTCTCGCTTCCCCCCTTCGCTCGCCGCCGACTCCTCCTGGGCGCTGGCTGGATCTGCGAGCCAGGGGATCGATCCTAACCACCGCCCGCCGAGGTTCCCGAAGCTCGTGCCCCAGGCGGTGGCCACAGATACATCTCAGCCTTGGAGGACAGAGCTGGAACGAGTGTGCACATCCACCCCCTGCTTCCTCCTCCCCCTCCCTCCCTCATCCCCTGATCCCTTCCCCCCTCCACTGGGAGGGTGGGAGGGGGAGGAGCGAGCTGCATCTGTACAGTGGTCCGACTCCTCCGACTGAGAGGCCCCCAGGGCGTGGACGAACCCGGCTCAGCGCAAACCGAGCTCAACCAATCGACAAGTGACAAATGACACCCTTGCGGCAGAAGATCCCACGCAGCTGTCCACAATTACGATGGAGGGCATGCTGGGGGCTCACGATCGGTGGCCACGGTGGGCGAGGGCCCCGGGGCCCGAACCCGAGCGAACACGCCTAGACTGAACAAAAATCAAACACAACACCCAGATCTCAGAGCACCACGCCCGGCTCAACCCAAATCCCACCAGCCCTTTGGGCGTGAGTGGTTTAGCGAGCTCTCTCTGTTCTCAACCCCCCTTCTTCCCCTTCGGGGAGGGGTTTACCCCTCCCCCTACCCCCTCCCCCTGGGCCTGGAGAGGGCGTTTCGCGGGTCGTTGGAGGGGTCTTTTTCGACTCCTGGGAGGGCTAAAATTCGACACCCCTCACGAGGATTCTGGCCCCGACGGGGGGGGGAGAAAAATGCTCGCCCCATCTGTGATCGATCGCCCGACAGATGGCCCCAAGATTCCTCCCAGACCCCTCCCAAAGAGCCCCAAGAGGCCCCAAGAGGCCTCCAAGAGGCCCCCAAGATGCCCCCAAGAGGCCCCCAAGAGGCCCCAAGAGGCTCCCCCGAGGCACCCAAGACGCTCCTGGAAGCCCCTGGAGCCGCCAAGAGGCCCCCAAGACGCCCCAAACGGCCTCCAAGAGGCTCCCAAGAGGCCCGAAGAGGCTCCCCCAAGGCACCCAAGACGCTCCTAGAAGCCCCTGGGGCCGCCAAGAGGCCCCGAAGACGCCCCAAAAGGCCTCCAAGAGGCTCCCAAAGAACTACTACTACTACTACTACTACTACTACTACTACTACTACTACTACTACTACTACTACTACTACTACTACTACTACACTACTACTACTATTACTACTACTACTACTACTACTACTACTACTACTACTACTACTACTACTACTACTACTACTACTACTACTACTACTACTACTACTACTACTACTACTACTACTACTACTACTGACTACTACTACTACTACTACTACTACTACTACTACTACTACTACTACTACTACTACTACTACTACTACTACTACTACTACTACACCGACTACTACGACGACTACTACTACGACTACTACGAACTACTACTACTACGACTACTACTACTACACTACTACTACTACTACTACTACTACTACTACTACTACTACTACTACTACTACTACTACTACTACTACTACTACTACTACACTACTACTACACTACTACTACACTACTACTACTACTACTACTACTACTACTACTACTACTACTACTACTACTACTACTACTACTACTACTACTACTACTACTACTACTACTACTACTACTACTACTACTACTACTACTACTACTACTACTACTACTACTACTAGTCCCACCAGCCCTTTGGGCGTGAGTGGTTTAGCGAGCTCTCTCTGTTCTCAACCCCCCTTCTTCCCCTTCGGGGAGGGGTTTACCCCTCCCCCTACCCCCTCCCCCTGGACCTGGAGAGGGGGTTTCGCGGGTGGTCAGAGGGTTCTTTTTCTATCCCTGGGAGGGCTAAAATTCGACACCCCTCACGAGGATCGTGGCCCCGACGGGGGTACTGACAAAAATGCTCGCCCGATCTGTGATCGATCGCCCCAAAGATGGCCCCAACAGGCCCCCAAGACGCTCCAAGAGGCGCCCAAGAGGGCCCCCGGACGCTCCCAAGAGGCTCAAAAGAGAGCCCAAGAGGCCCCTCTACGATCTCCAAGAGGCCTCCAAACTGCCTTGGATACGACTACTTGTACTACTACTACTACTACTACTACTACTACTACTACTACTACTACTACTACTACTACTACTACTACTACTACTAACTACTACTACTACTACTACTACTACTACTACTACTACTACTACTAACTACTACTACTACTACTACTACTACTACTACTACTACTACTACTACTACTAACTACTAACTACTACTACTACTACTACTACTACTACTACTACTACTACTACTACTACTACTACTACTACTACTACTACTACTACTACTACTACTACTACTACTACTACTACTACTACTACTACTACCTACTACTACGAGGGGACCGAACGACTCGCACCAGGACGAGGTGCCCGACGCCTCAGAGGAGCCCGAACGACTCACACCAGGACGAGGGGCCCGAACGACTCACACCACGAAGAGCCCGAACGACTCACACCACAAGGAGGGGCCCGAACGACTCACACCAGGACGAGGCGCCCGAACGACTCACACCACGAGGAGCCCGAACGACTCACACCACGACGAGGGCCCCGAACGACTCACACCACGAGGAGCCCGAACGAGTCACACCAGGAGGAGGGGCCCGAACGACTCACACCAGGACGAGGGGCCCGAACAACTCACACCACGAGAAGCCCGAACGACTCACACCAGGACGAAGAGCCCGAACGACTCAAACCACGAAGAGCCCGAACGACTCACACCAGGAAGAAGGGCCCGAACGACTCACACCAGGACGAGAGGCCCGAACGACTCAAACCACGAGGAGCCCGAACGGCTCGCACCAGGACCAGGGGCCCGAACGACTCACATCACGAGGAGCCCGAACGACTCACACCAGGAAGAGGGGCCCGAAGGACTCACACAAGGACGATGGGGCCGAACGACTCACCCCACGAGGGGCCCCAACGACTCCCACCAGTCGTCGTCGTCGTCGTCGTCGTCGTCGTCGTCGTCGTCGTCGTCGTCGCCGTCGTCGTCGTTCGTCGTCGTCGTCGACGTCGTCGTCGTCGTCGTCGTCGCGGTTGTGGTCGTCGTCGTCGTCGCGGTCGATATCGTCGTCGTCGTCGGGTGCGTCGTCGTTGTTAGGATCATCGCTGTGGTCGTCGTCTCCGCTAAATCCCTCTTGCCTCCCACCGCTTTCTCTCCCTCCTCCTCCGCCTCGTCCTTCTCCCGCTCCCACCACAAGGAGGATGTACAAGGAGGCGGGAGGAAGGAGGAACAGGGGAGATATGCGGGGGCAGGCGGAAACACGCCTGAAAAACACGACTGTCGGCATGCTTCGCAAGACTTGCTGTTTTGAGATGGGCTGGTGGGGATACGCGAAGCGTGAAGAATTGGGCTCTGCAGGACCCTGCAGGCTCCGGCCCTCTGGCTGAGCCCCGTTGCCCTGAACCTCGTTCCCAGTTCCCCGACGCCATGACCAGTTTCACACGTCGACCCCCGATTCGGTGGCAACTGATGGGAGCTCCCATAGCATGTTGTCGGCTCTGGCGAATCGACGCTAATCGACGCTAAATCGACGCCAATAATCGCTACATCGACGCTAGTCGGCGCTCGCCGATGCCAGATCGGCGCTATCTCATCGACTCCGGACGCAAATCAACGCTAGTCGACGCGCTAAAGACGGTATACCAGGCTCCCACGATCAGCCACAGAGCCCCGAGGTCCCCACCCATTCCCCAGGACTGACTGTTCACCCCGATCGTTTCGGGGCGTTCCCCACTGGGCCCCCCCGTGGACCGAAACTTGTCAGAAACTACCCGTCGTGTTCTTGTCACGGCCCTGTGCGATCAACCCGTTACTGGAACGTTGTGCTGTACTGACCTTCGCACGAGTCATCGTCCTCACCCTGGGTCTGCGGTCCTGATGTGGCCCCCGTACTCACGAGTCGAGTACGGCCAGAGCAAGGACAGAAGAACATGCTCCAGAACCATGAGACCCTCCGCCAGCCAACCCGAAGAACGGCACTGGATGCAAAGGCACTGGATGCACAAGGAGCACCCGAGAGGCACGAAAGACATCGGTGTGCCCTCCCCGAGCGCCGACATCGATGTGGTGCCTCGGTCCGACCGTGCGTGCGCCTGCCTCTGGTGCACCCCGAGGTTCCTCACGTGCCGAGGGTGACCTGGCCATCCCGCGGCCCCGCAACTTGAGCAGGGACCGACCGTCCTGGCATGCCTATAGGTCTACCACGAGACTTTCTTGGAACCCAAGAGTGTTCTAAGAACAGAAACAGTGTTCTCAGGACATCGACCCGATGTGCTAAAAGAGGCCAGTCCCAGCCAGACATGTCCTGAGACCAGCTCGTGGAAAACACACAGAGAGAGGCTCTTGGAGCACTGTTTGGCAGGCACGCCAGGACGCTTCGCCACTGGTTGATCCTCACGTGCTGAGGGTGACCTGGCCCTGGCCTCCCGCAAGCACAAAGTACAAAATCCATCGGAGTTCGTTCTCCGCCCGAAGCACTGGACTGTCAGTCCATCGGAACTCTTGGAGGGGTTGCCCGGCGCTGACGCCGGGCACCAGGCTCTGCCAGTGCATGTCCCGGCGCGGCTGCGGGGTGCCGGTGCGGAAGCTGGTACACCAGAGGCGGACGCACGCCTGGTTGAGCTGGTCAGCCAGTGTCTCTGGACGCACTACGGTGAGTTCGACCCGTCTTGGATTTCGCATAAGTGGACGGCTTTTTCCCTCTGCGTTTCCCCTCCCCGTGCGCTCGCGATTCGCTTCCGGCGCGCCCCGCCGACAGCCGACCGCCTGCCGGACCCCGCTCGGCACGACGCGAGGACGTAGAGGGTTGGGTGCGAATTCGTGGGGGAGCAATACACGCGGGGGGGGGGAGAGAGAACGGTGCCCCTTTCGGGCCCTGAAGGCCCCCCCTGGGGCCCTCGAGGGCCCCTCTTCGGCAGCCTCGCTGCCCCCCCATTTCTCGCGGCCCCCCCGTTCCTCGCCAGCGCTCGGACGTCCATTCCCTGTGCATTTCTCGATTTCGTGCGTGCAATTCGGTTGCCATCTACTCCCGGGATTCTCCTCGATGGTCCTCGCCGAGGAACAATGCACACGTCCGAGCGGCACCAACGTTCATGCGCGCCCAGACTGGCTACATACCAAACCACCCCAACCCAACCCGAAGACCCGAATTTGACCCGAATTTCGGGTTGGGGGGGGGTACGGGTTCCACGTGTTTTCACCATGTTCCCCAACCCCCCCCCCACTGGAAATGGAGGGCAAACTGAAGCCTTCGGGTTGGGTTGGGGTGATTTGGTGGGTGGTGACAGACAGGGGAGCCTCGTTCCCTGCCGGCCAAGCGGTTCGGGGATCTTCTGACCCGGGTCAATCCAGACCCGCGTCAGCCAGGCCTTGCAAAATCCTGCCAAATCCTGCACCCGTACCCGGGTCAGTGAGAAGGATCCTGCAGGATCCTGCACCCAAACCCGGGTCAGTGCGACCCTGGCCCTGCAGGATCCTGCAAGGTCGGGCGCTCTGGCTGACCCCCGTTTGCACTGACACCCTTCTCGGGGCTCCCGAGCGGTCCTTCAGCGTCACCGCCCGGCTGTGCTGTGCGAGCATGAACGGCGAGCGCCCGCCCGACACCACCAGCAGCGCGGCGGTCAGGCGCGGCACGCCGAGCAGCGAGCCTGCCGACGGGGGGGCGGGGGCCGCCGCAGCGGGCCTGCCGATGACCCTGCGCGCGCGCGAGCCGAGAGGGCGCAAAGAACCCCACACGCGCACGCGGGCAACGGACTGCACGTCGGTCGGAAAGGGCAAGTGGAAGCACGACGTATCGGGCCGGGCGAACGGGGGGGATAGCAAAGGGGGGGGGGTGAGAATCAGCTCGCGTAGCTGATCGCCTCCTGGCGCCCGGAAGCGCCCATGTATCGAGGAATGGGCCCGGCGGCGGGGCCGAAACCAGCTGCATGCAGCAGATTTTGCACCCCCCCTTCCCCAATCCCCCCCTTTCGTCCGGCCCGATCAGTGGAAGCACGAAGTAGGAAGGCGGATCGAGCAGATTCTGTCCCTGCCCCCCCCCCAGAGAAGAACAGAAAAACGCACGGCACAAGTATGCCGACTCCTGAGAAAGGAGGGCGCTCGAAGCAGATTGGGATCTGGAGATCCGGAGATGCCCACGTTCAACGACCGGCGTGTACCCATAAGCCCTACGTTTAAGTCAGGCCTGTCCCCCTACAGAGCAATTTTCGACGAAAAATCAAATATACCCTCAAAATACCCCACAAAGGTCAAAAGAAAAACAAAACAATAGTTCCCCGACTATCTTTGGAATCTTTCTGGACTGTTCCTGGGGTATGTCAAATTCTTCGTCGAGAATCCCCCTGTAGGGGGACAGGCCCAATTTAGATCTGCGTAAGATCGGCGAGCTGCGTGTCCGCTCCGCCTCTGCGCCGGCAGGGCGCGCACGCCAGGCGGGATGCCTGCTCCGTGGCGCGAGAGGCTCACGGCAGGGGGCGCGCGCCGTGCCGCGCGTGTCAGGGGGAGGAGGAGGAGGAGAAGGAGGAGGAGGAGGAGGAGGAGGAGGAGGAGGAGGAGGAGGAGGAGGAGAGGAGGAGAGCGAGGAGGAAGGGAGGAAAGGAGGAAGAGGGAGGAGGGAGGAGGAAAAGGAGGAGGGAGGAAAGAGGAGGGAGGGACGGAGGAGGGAGGAGGGATGAGGAGGAGGGAGGACGAGGAGAGGGAGGGAGGAGGGAGGAGGTGGGAGGGAGGAGGGAGGACGAGGAGGAGGAGGAGGAGGAGGAGGAGAGGGAGGAGAAGGGGGGAGGGAGGAGGAGGGAGGAAAGGGGGACGAAGGAGGGAGGAGGGAGTGTGGAGGGGCACAGATCTCTCTCTCAACGCCTCGCGTCGTTCAAAGGTTCAAGGCGGACGTCTGCCCTGCGATCCTCGGACCCGGGGGGCCCTCGCCGGGCCCCCGGGGCCGCCGGGCTGCCAGAACGGTCCAGGGGGGGCCGGGTCGAGGCCTCCGCGCCGTCGCTCGGACTGGGTAGTCGAAGCCAATCTGGCGCCAATCTGGCAGGCCCAATCTGGCAAACGGGGGCAATCTGACGAGGGAGCCAACGCGAATCCAGTCTGGCGAATAACCCCAATCCTCCAGTTTGGCCAGGCCAGATTGGCCCTTGGGGCCCAATCCAATCTGACAGTCTGGCCTTCGACTACCCAGTCGGACGTGCCTTCCCTGCGCAGCCGTCGCCGTCGTGCGCCCTGCATGTCTCGCAGGATGGCCCAAGATGCTCCCCGATGGGCCTCGCCGAGGGACGGGCCACGCAAGTCCGAGCGGTGCCAAGGCCTCGGAGGGGCCCACGTCGTCCAAAAGAGCATGGCGCCGAGGGCCTGGGCCTCTGGGCCACCCACCTTCCGCGCACCACCAGCGCAACGTTACCCCCAGGAAGACCCCCACAAGGCCCCGCAGGGATTTTTTGTGGAGGGCCCAGGGGTACACAAACAAATCAACGCAATTCACAATCAACAAACAAATCAACAAATCAACGCAAATCACAAACAATCAAACAATCAACGCATCCCTACATTTCTTGATATTTTCTGGAGTATCGTCTTCCCACGCACCTCCCGCAGTTTTCGATTTTTTCTCGGGCATTGTGTTTCTTCCCCCTCCTGACTTGTGGCACGGTGCGTCTGCGCACGGCGCCGCAGACGCTTCTGCGACAGCGCACCCCCCCCCCCCCCCTCCTTGAAGAGAGGAGCATCCAAGGCTCCCACGGGGTCGGCGGTGCGGCGTGAGCTCGATGATGGTTCGAAGAGGCCCCCAAGACGGTCCAAGAGGCCCTCGAGACGCCCCAAGAGGACACCAAGAGAGACCCAAGGTGGCGCAAGAGCGGCCCATGACGGCCCAAGACGCCCCAAAAAGGCCCCCAAGAGGCTCCTAGGAGTCCGCAGTACGACTGGACGTTACGTAATCCTGACGTGCACCCCGTGAAGCGAGAGGCATCCTCTAGGACACCTGACTTCGCGTATCGCTAGAGGGCCAAGCCTCGACATGACCACAAGCGTTCGCGCCGAGTTCTTGGGGTTAAGCGCCGCTCCAAAACATCCGCGCGAATCTCAAACCGCTTGTCTGTCCTGTCTATGCAGTTGTTTATTTATTTCTTCAGTCTTTCGCTAAGCGTAAACACAAAAAGAGTTGACCGATTGCACCTGCTACGATTTAAATACAGGGCCGTGCGGTCAACGGAATGGAGGTCACCAGCGAAGATAATAATGCTGCTACAACTTGTGATTCCGAATGACCTTTCTTGACGCCGGTTGGCTTCAGGAGGTGTCGAATGCCTCAGCTGACGATCCCCACACACAGGAGTTCAGGGGATCATACGTATGTAAGCCCTGCCAAGAGTCAGCAAACTCTCGTTGCCCAGACACGTGCTGAGAGTGCTCGGTCGAACCAGATCCCGAACCAGCTCCTCCTCCTCCTCCTCCTCCTCCTCCTCCTCCTCATCCTCATCATCATCATCATCATCATCATCATCATCATCATCATCATCATCATCATCATCATCATCCTCATCCTGTTGCCCCTCCCCTGGGAGCAGAGAATGGGGAGGGAGAGAGAGAGAGAGAGAGAGGGGGAGCGAGAGAGCGAGAGAGGGGGGGAGAGAGGGAGAGGGAGAGAGAGCGAGAGCGAGAGAGAGAGAGAGGGCGTGGCAGCACCGCGGCCTACGATGGCCGACCTGCCGAGAAGAGGGTCCAGGGGCAGCCGCGACAAGACCTCGCCCACCGGGAGGAGCATCGGGGCTTCCACGCCCTCGACAGCCTTGACAGGGAGGAGGAGGAGGAGGAGGAGGACGACGACGACGTCGAGGGAGAGAGGGAGGATGGGAAGAGGAGGGAGGATTGGGGAGGCACGAGGCTGGACGGAAGAGAGGAACGAGGGGAGGAGAAAGGAGAGGGAGGGACGAAGGGAGACGGGGCAGGAGTTCTTCTCTTAGGAGAGGCAAGATGGAGCAGGGAGGACGAGGAGAGGAAGGGTGTGCTTCGATTATTACCGAGGAGCTTCAGAGGGTTCTGGCAGGATCCAGGGCGTTCTGCAGGGAGGATCGAGTGGCGTTTCTGTTTCACACTGACCACATGAACGAGGTCGATGCCCTCGCCCACCCGGCTGGGAGGATAGAGTACCCATCGGTCGGAAGAAGTAGGTAGGAACATCAAATAGGAAGGCGTTGGAAATAGATTGGGTTTCCGCCCCGCCTCCTGAAGAGGAGGGAAGAGGGAAAACCCCTCGACTCTTGAAGTAGGAAGGCGCTGAAAGTAGATTGGGATCGGGGAATCCAAAAATACCTACTTTCAACGACCGATGGGTAGGGGAAGGGTCCAGCTGGGTTTGGCCCCAAAGGCAGTCAAGTGGGTAGTCTCGAGGCCTTCGTGGCAGGACTCGCCTTCAACTTCCCGACCCTGCAGAGGCTCGCCGGATCGCTCGTCGTCCCAAGCCCTGCACGCGTGGGCGATCGTCGGCCGTCAGGCCGAACGCTCTCTAGGATACACGAGGACATCCCAAAAGCACGGAGAACACTGGGGAACCCTCCCCGAACCGACCTCGCTCTCATGCCTCGGTCCAACTGTAATGAACTGGCACGACGGGAAGGGGAAGGGGGCATGAGGAAATAAAACAAGTAAGTGAAAGAGGAGAGAGGAGGAGCAGAAGGAGGAGAGGAATACAATTATACGAAGCCGCATCGCAGGAACACAAACCTTGGAGGTCCGCACGGATGTCCTCGGTCGGCGTTGGACCTTCTCGGCAGCGCCTGCGGCGGGCCCCGTGGCGGGCTCCGCGTGCCATGGAGGGGGCCCGACGCCGATCCAAGAAATCGGCGCGGGACCTCCGAGAGTTGGTGCTTCTGCAGTGGTTTCTCTTCTCCCTTCGGGTGCGAGGGAGGCGGTGCACACAAAAGGAGGGGTGGCGCGGGGGGGAGGGAGGCCGTGGGAGCCCGTGATGGGGCCCAGGAGGGGGGGGGGGGCCGTGATCGCCGTGAGCTGGTCCATGGCGTCCTCCGGGCCGGGAGGGAGCGGGGCCGGAGAGGGCCGCCTGCCCCCCCCCCCCCAAGCTCTCGTCCTATCCCGCCTCCTTCACCCCCTCCATCCCTCTGCCTTACAAGTTTAGAGGGGCCCTGGGGCACACAAGTGAATAGACACAATCCCCAGGATTCCCCACACTCTCCCATTTTTCCTGGGTTTCGTTTTCCCCCCCACTTCCCACATCATTCCATAATGTCCTGCGAGTCGACGATTCCTTGTGTCTGTGCGTTTTGTTCCCCCCCTGACGAGTGAGTACAAAATAAGTGCTGCCTACCGCACCCCAGACGTGTCGGTAGGGCCGGCCGCGCGTGTCGCCTGAGACTTACCCATCACTGATTTGTCCCTGAAGCTTGGAAGTTGCAATTCCCCATCGTTGATATTCCCCCTCACTGATATTCCCCATCATTGATATGTCCCAGGTGGTGGGCAAGTCGATCTCAAGATGTGGCGCTCGCCTCGGCGCCGCGAACATGCGTCTGAAGACGTTGCAGCAATGTCACGGGCAGAGGGTCGGCATTGCCTTGTAGTGTGGCCCTCGCCTTAGCTCAGCGCACATTCAGTTTAGAGTCAGCAACGGCTTCAAAGATGGAGTGCGGGCCGTTTTCGCAATGTGACTCTCGCTCGGCGCCGCACACATTCGTCTGCAGGACGCGGCAGCTTCAAGGATGGAGGGCGGCTCGTTCTCGAAATGTGGCTCTCGCCTCAGCGCAGCGCACTTTCGTTTCGACAAAGCACACCAGTTTCACGGATTCGAGCAGTTGAAGTCCCAGGAATGGCGTTCTGGCAAGGTTTCGGACCGTCAAGACGCAACAGCCAGGTTGGTTCGCGGCGTCGAAGTCCCAACAAGAACGCTTTGGAACGACAGGCAATTCTCAGACGGTTGTCTTCTAGTGGGCCACTTCCCGCTAGGAAAATACACGAATTCAGGCACCTATGAAGAGGGAACTCGGAGGGTGGGTTTAGTGCAACACCGCTGATGCGTCTTGGGTCTACACTCCAGCTCCTCCTCCTCCTCCTCCTCCTCCTCCTCCTCCTCCTCCTCCTCCTCCTCCTCCTCCTCCTCCTCCGCACTCCTCCTCTTCCTCCTCATCCTCCTCCTCCTCCTCGCTCCTCCTGCCTCCCCCCCCCTCCACCCTCCTCCCCTCTCCTCCTCCTCCTCCTCCTCCTCCCCCCCTCCCTGCTCTCCTCTTCCCCCGGCCGTCCTCACTCCCCCGTTCCTCCTACCTGCCTCCTCCTTTCCTCCTCCTCCTCCTCCTCCCTCCTCCTCCTCCTCCGCCTCCTCCCCCTCCTCCTCCTCCTCCTCCCCCTCCCCTCTCCCTCCCCTCCTCCTCCTCCTCCTCCTCCTTCCTCCTCTTCCGCCTCCTCCGCCTCCCTCCTCTCCTCCTCCTCCTCCTCCTCTTGCCTCCTCCTCCTCCTCCTTCCTCCTCCTCCTCCTCCTCTCCTCTCCTCCGTCTCCTCCCTCCCCAGTCCTCCTATTTCTAATCCCTCCTCCTACCCACCTCGCGGGTCGCGGCCGCGTGCTCCGAGCCCCCGCGCCCCCGAGAGGGGGGGGTCCGCAACGGAGTCCTTGCTGGCGGGGTTCCAGAGCCCTCGGCGGGGGGGGGGGGGGGCGGAGGGGGGCGCCCCCTGTGGAGGGCGGCGCCCGTGCCCTCCGATAGGGGGCCACATGCGAACCCTGCCCCTACCCCCCACGATTTCTGAGGGGGGGTGGGGTTCACTTCGCGCGGGAGCTCCCGAACAAAGTGAACCCCATCGTCCCCCTGAGATATCGTGGGGGGTATGGGGCAGGGTTCGCATGTGGCCCCCTATCGGAACCCAGGCGACGGGGGCGCGCGGCGAGACAGGGCGTCCAGGAAGCCCAGAAGGCCGAGAGGGCCCTCTGCAAGGGGCGTCCACGGGGTCCCCAGGACCAGTGATCCAAGGTATCCGCTTGGGGGGGGCGCCCCTCCCCTGGCCTGTACACAAATGAGTGGGAAGCTGGTTTGCCCCCCCCCCCCCCCTGCGTCTTCAAGGAAAACATTAGCAATGTGGTAGCACCACAACGCGTACGACAACAGCACCGACGCCTAACCCGCATACTCGTGACCTGTACTCTTTGCCGGTCTCCCTCTGTAAATATCCCTCTCTGTCGTTCTCTCGTTTTCTCTCGGTCTCTCTCTCTCTCTCTCTCTCTTGTTCTCTATCCCTCTCTCTCTCTATCGCTTTTGCTGTCTCTCTCTCTCTCTCTCTCTTCCTCTCTCTATCTCTCTGTCTCTTGTTTCTCTCTCTCTCTCTCCCTCTCCTACGTGTAGATACAAGTGTGTACCATTCCTCCTCCTCCCTCATCCATCCTCCTCCTCCTTCTTCTTGTCCTCCTTGTCCTCCTCCTCCTCCTCCTCCTCCTCCTCCTCCTCCTCCTCCTCCTCCTCCTCCTCCTCATGTCCACACTCTGCTCCTACACCCCCCACGAGAAGAGGAGGCCAGTGAGGAGAAGGACGAGGATGGAGACCAGGAGGAGGGCGAGGACAGTTGAGGAGCATGAGTGGGAGTGATAAGAGGGGAACAAGGCCGAGAAGCAGCAGGATAAAAATGATAATGAGCAGCGCCACGTAATCCTCCTATTCCCCCCCTCCTCCCCCTCCTCTTCCTCCTCCTCCTTCTCCTCCTCCTCATCATCATCAGCATCATCATCATCACCATCATCATCCACTTCCCCCTGCGCTCATAACTCCTCCTCATCATCATCGAACTCCTCGCCATCATCCTATTGCGGTGTGTCCTCTCTCTAATATGTGGGGAATCGGATGTAAGGAGGAATGATATGAGCACGCGGAGTAGCAGGACGACGACGATGATGAGCAGACTGTGGAATCATCCCCCCCGTCCTGTGTTCCCGTCAATGCTGCGCGTCCTCATCCTCGCCCTCCTTCTATCACCCGTGCCCTTTTTCATCCCCCGAACCGTACCCTATGGGAGACGGAGGGGGAGAAGGAGAATGAGGAGGAGGAGGAGGAGTAACCCTCAGAATATCATCCTCCCCTTGTTCATGGTCACAATTATGACCCTCCACTGCATCATTGTGCCACCACTCGTCCTTATCCTCGGTATCCTCCTTTTCCTCCTCCTCTTCCTCATCATCCTCATCACCAGCAGCAGCAATATCTTCATCACCACCGTCAGCATCATCACCATCATCATCAGCAGCAACATCATGTTTGTTATCACCATCACCTTCACCGGCAATAACAGCAGCACCAGCATCATCAACATCAGCAGCATGACCAGAATCGTCTGTGTCATCCGTTTCATCACCATCAAAACCAGAATCGTCCTCATCATCACAAACATCGTCACCGTCTGCATCATCACCATCAGCAACAACATCATCACCAGCACCTTCACCATCATCAATATCAGCATCGGCATGTTCAGCATCAGCATCGTCATCATAACCATCAGCCACGTCATCAAGCATCAACCGCATCATCAGCAGCATCACCATCATCGACACAGGCCGCACCATCATCATCGGCATGTTCATAACCATCATCCGCATCATCATGAACATGACCAACGCCAGCAACAGCACCATCGTCAGCACCAGCAGCATCAGGACAACCATCGTCATTGTCATCACCATCATCACCCCCAATATCATCATCAACACTGTCATAATACTCATATCAACAGCATCGCATCATTTTGGTTGGTCAGCAT